GGTGAAATTATATGAAATTGGAAATTGGACCTGGTATCGTGATAGTAACACGGTGTGAGTTCAGTGTCAGTGACCTTAGGCGTTCGGTTGCCTGTGTCTGGTCAGTAACGCCGCGCATCCTCTGCCGGCAGAAGGAGGGGGACGTGGCGCGGCCGGTGCTGAACGTGTCTGAGGAGGTGGCCGGCGCCGTCTGCCGGCTGGCCGTCCTGCCGGTCGTCACGTCGCCCGTCGTGAAGACCCCGCTGAGGATGGCCGACTGGGTGGGCGCGCTCGGCGCGGAGCTGCTGCAGAAGGCCGTCCCCCGGCTGACGGACACCAAGCAGCCGCTGAGGCTGAACGCTGAGCTGCTGCTGAGCCTGCTGATGGTGCCGCTGACGCTGAGCGTGGCGCTGAGCCGCGACCTGCTGGAGCTGGGCGTCCTCAAGCTAGTCACCACCTTCCCCGGCCTGCAGCCGGCAGCCAAAGGTAGGTGATGACTATTAGTAAAATTATCTTAAGTAGAAGTGGCACCCAGCTGTCGGCCTCCGCTAATTCCATTCCGATTTATGTAAGAAGACTATACAGAATTTAGACACGCTTGATTTCTGATTCCGTGATGATTTTGGATCGAGTAGTATCTACTGATTTTCTGTTGACTTGTGCTGACTCCCTCTGACCGTCACCGATCCCGTGCTGCAGGGTTCGCGGAGAAGTCTCTGCTGGCGCAGTGCGGCACTGCGCTGCTGCTGCTCTGGGTGTACCTGCCGCTCCTGCTGCTGTCCCGACCGGTGGAGACGGTACGCGCTCTGGTCTCTGTCCCCGGCCAGGCCGCTGCTTCTGTGAGTGTTCGTGGAGTCCGCTCTGGTGTGGGTCAGTGTAGCGCTGATCGTACCGTACCGAAACGGTTAACTAATGGGTCCGTGGTGTTCCACCGTCGCCCACCAGTGCTGCGCTGGTGGGCGACAGTTAGCTCCCCAGCGAGAATCGGGGAGCTAACTGCTTGAATGCGCTCGGCTCATTCTCGACACAATAGCTTACAATCTTTCCCGATGGCGCTTCAGTTATTTCGCCCTGTCCTTCACGGGTTGCAGCTTATGTAGTAATATGCTGCTCGTGCTTTGTCCGTCTGCATAATGGCCTCTGGAGAAGCTGGAGCTTTTGGCTTGCATAAATTAGGTATTGGCTGTTCTCAGGCTTGCCCAGCAAGTTCATCCTCGCGAAAAAAATTGTACCATTTGATACAGCATTGGAATCCGGACAGGGAAAAGCTGTCGAGTGTATCATAAATTGGTTCGTTTAGCCTTTCTTCCTCAACACCTTCAACTGCCTCAGGCGCTAAACATCGCCTGGTTTTTGCTTAAGCCATAGTTTAACGGAAGCAAAGTGTGCATATTGTGTGACCTGCCGCCGTATCCCACATACCTAACTGCTGTATCTGCTATCTGCTAAATCATAGAACCACTGCAACTCTTCTTCATCTCTCGTCTTAGTGACCCCAGTGCTGCGATTCCTGGTCTTGGGCTGCGATCTCTGTTGATGCCGGAGCTGTGGGGCGGCCGGCATCAGACTCCTCTCTCTGCTTCTCCAGGTGATCTCCTGGGCCCGGGAGGCTGCCAGCGCCGTGGCTGACGAGCTGGCCGCCTGGGCGAGCGCTGTGGCCGATCTGGCCGTGCAGGCTGTGAGCTGGGTGGCCGCCACCGCGCAGACCGCCTACTACGTGCTGTTCGTGATGACTGGCCTCGAGCCGCTGTTGGCGGCCCTGCTGGAGCGCGCCCGCGCCCTACTGGCCACCTCTCGGGAGGCCGGAGCCAGCCTGGTCAGCACAGTCCGCGCGTCGGCGCCCGGTTCGGGCCTGGTAAGACGCATGTACGCACGCTACTACTCTACTCACTTCAAGGGTCTGTTCCCGTGGCTGCTCCAACGCCCTCTAAGCTCATCTAACCTCATTTATCATCTAAATCGTCTACAGCCCGCAAACAGCTGATTCTCTCGCAGAAATGTTTCCCGGAGCGGCTTGAAAACGACTCTCCTCGAAGTGTTCATCCAAACTCCTCCGATACTTCTTCTTGGATTAGCCACGGGAACAGACCCCAAATGCCTTACTGGACGTAATTTCTACCTCCAGCCTGGGGGTTTGGGGAAATAGTTTTACTGAAATATTCCTAACTAACGTACTACTAACGAACTTTAACGTGGCCTTGAATCCATCATCGGATTAACGTAGTGGGGAACCAAATAAATGTGCTTGCTACAGCTTCTTAACGTGTGTAGATCCTGGTGTCCATTATCTATTGAGTTATAATTGTGAGACATATGTAATCATGTTCACGACGAATGATATCAATGATGTATTGCACCAATTTTACTATTGCCCTGTGGTCACTAATCAATTGCGAATATGGCGGATTGTGTATGGAGGGTGATGGCTTTTCCCCGGTAATTAAAAAGGTCTGAACTCTCTTGCATGAAAAAGCAGTGTTGGGACTTGGTAGCATGACGTGACTCGTTAGTTCAGCGACTAGAACTTCCATTCCCCTGACTACCAGCACCGTTCGGGAGCAGCCGCTGACCTCTGTTTTTTTTTTATAAATTTAGTCCGAACCTTTTGATAGGAAGGATTCACAAGGACAGAGCCACCGCTAAGCGAAGCTTGTTGCGGTGACCCTGCCCTCTACCCTCCGATCGCGCAATTCCAGATCTATGGCAGAATTTAGAGTCCAAAGTTTAACGTGCGCACATAGCCGCGCACGGCCGGTCCCCTCTTGACTTCGCCTGGCTGTGGCCTGCCACCAACCGCAACCATACCTGTCAGGAGACCCATTAATGTCAAGCGCCCGTCGCGCTTCGAACCCGGACTATTATAACCGGGAACGCGTGCTCTCACCACGCGGAGTCCAACGCTCTACCAACTGAGCTACGGGACCGGCAAGTCTGTGGGAGTGGTTAGTCTGCGCCCTCAGTCTGACCCGTCTTTGTACCCGCAGTCTGACCTGTATCGGTAGTCTGTGCCCACAGTGTGACCCCTTCTCCGTAGTCTGTACCCCCGTCTGACCGGTCTCTGCGCCCGCAGGCTGAGCTGGCGCCGGTCCAGTGGGCGCGGGAGCTCTGGTGCGGCGGAGCCGACTGCCAGCGCGCAGAAGGGGAGCAGCGCAGTGCCGGCGCCGGCGCTGGCGGCTCCGGCCGGCCGGCAGACCGCTGAGCCCGAGCTGTGGGCACCGGGGAGGATCGGCGGCGCCCTGTTGGTGACTGTCAGCCTCTGCGGAGTGGCGGTGGCCGTCATCAGCCTCTGGTGAGCCGCGCAGGAGCACCGCTAATCTCTGAGGAATCACCACGGGAACCACGCTGTTGGCCCAGGGCTGTTGGCCGACCCTGGGCCGATTAGCCGTGATCTGTGGGCTACCGTTTCTTCTACTGTCACTATTTCGTGTCCAAGAAGAAAACACTCGAGCTATCATTTGGTTTTCTGTGCGAGTTTCTCAGAGAAGTGGATTTGGCATGTACTCAGCGCAATGGGAGCTCGCTTATTACTGTGAATACTCGACCCTCCCAGGACATTTTCAAGTGATACGTGCCAGGGATTACAAATGCGTGTCGTGGTGCAATCATGTTAAGCTTCACAGGATTGTTGCTCATTCCATTAGCCTAGTAATGGTGCTGGGGTAGATGCGTGTGACTGTGCTTGTTGCTTACGGAGAGTTGTGTTACGCATTTCTGCACCTAATGTCAGAGTTAGGTGCTGTAAGTGTGAATCGCACGAACTAGTTTCCAGCGCTGGGCGCCTGTTTCACCCGTTTGGTATCTGCCGAGGGCTTCCGGTGCAGGGAACGGCTTGAAACGACTGTGCTCATTTTCGACGGGGTTTCGACTAAAAGGACTAGTTGCCCTTGTGTACGCGTCTTTGCTTCTCTCTGTAGCTCGGCGATTCTCGAGCTCATCGTCATGTTCGTACCGTGAAGCGGAAGATCGCGCTATTTTGCATTGTTCTGGATGCTATTGCGATGGACGTGTGCATTGTTTATGCTAAGAAGCGGTTGCCCTGTGTTCTGGAATGCATCCGGGTGGTAGAACTTCGACATTGTGTTAATAAATAGCTGGTCAAGCCAGCCCTGGGCTCATTTCTTTTTCCTCAGCTGGCATTTGTTCCTTTTCGAATTTAGTACGGAACGCCATAATGACGGTTTATAGCATGTCAATAGATGCTGCTGGAAATAGACACCTAACCAGCACGAACGAATCGGAGGTGAGGCTTGTTAAAATCTTAAAGTTCTGTGACACTGAGATCCGCGAGCTTGCTTCGAAACCAGTAGGCATTCGCGTTTTATTCGCAGGGGTCTCTCAGCCCATTGTAGTCGTTGTGGGATGGGATGGCCGGGGAAACGGCGGCCGTCCGATCGGTGACGCATAGCGGATGGGTGACAAAATCGCGGAACGTCGCCACCTCGAACGGCGAATCCCATAGGGTGCCCCTTGGCGCAATAGTGACCGAGCAGGTTGCTAGGTAAGAGTCATTATGGATTTTTTTTTGGGGGGGGGGGGGGGTTGTATTCCCACGGTAATGATGGCATCTTTACTTTTCCGGTAACTTCAGAAGAAAAATGAAAAATGAGAATAGGTATGAATCATGCCGAATGATCCAGATGGAGGACGAGCGTGAAGATGCATTTTATATAGAATAGATAAAATGGACAATATTAAAAAGCATATGGAACAAGCAAAAGCAGTATGGGCAATATACAATAATATTTCAGACATAAATTCCTCATTCATCATTATGTGAAGTCAGAGGTATTTAATTTAGTGACGGCATTTTTCTGGAATAATGCGATGACGTCAAATAATAATAAAAGGTAGGATGTAAAACCTAAGACGAATCGTTAGAGAAACATTTATTCAGTTTATATTTATTTATTGGTATATTTTTGTTTTTGTTGGCAGTTTTTAATGAATATGAAAATTTCAAAACATGTAATTACCTTCAAAACGTCATTTTGCACAGGTGATGAGAACGTAAGGTGATGATCGTCACAGCTGCGCCATCATAGCTGTTGTTTTGCGATTACTAATCATTGCGCAAGGTCAAAGCAAGATTTGCACATTATTTTTGTTTTTGATTTGTGAGGGTGACTTTGAATTTGAACTTTGGATAAGGTGGTACGTTTATAAATTATTGCAAAAAAAAATATTTTTCACTTAGAATAAGAAACTGTATGAGCTCGGCTCCAGTTCTGATGCAAACTGAAATTTGAAGTGACTGTTCTCTGTCAGCATTGTTTGTGAATTCAAGGTAGGTTTAGGTACCATTTATTCATTTATTTTCATTGAATATTGTTTGAAATGGATTTATATTTTTCGTTTTCTGATGAATGTTGCATTGTTCAGCTTTTTTTCTCATCCTACCTGAGGCTGAATTCAGTGATAAGTATGGAGCCAGACTGCAAAGTATGGCACGCAGGTCGACGAGGCGCACCGGCCCAAGTTCAAAATCCGCACCAACCCTTCAAACTGAGCCGGAAAATCTGCACCAAAGCGAGCCGAGAGCCCAAAATATCCGCACCGAACCCACAGGCAATTATAATGCAAGGGACTTCATTCATCTCACTATAATTATTTCCCCTCCAATTTCAGTTTCACGAGCAACGCTCACCACGGGACCGCGCCGCGCACTTGTATCGGAAGTTTGAAATATAGCAAATAGACGGACGCCGGTGAAAAAAGGGCGCCGGAGGGCATATTGGGTCACGTGACATTCGGAACTTCTCCCCTCTCTGTGGGCCTTCTACATGCTAAATGTCACGTGTGAATTTGACGAGCCTTGATAAAATCGCCCCAACAAACTTTCGTATGAGTAAAACTAATGACGTCATTCCAAAGTAGCGTGCTGATTGGCAATTCAAACCAGCTGCTCGCAAATGTGACATACCAGTCACCCAAAGTCCACCGCAACCAGTCTTCGTTCTAATGACGCCGTCATCACGTTAATTTCCGAGGCGAGAATGGATTTGTTCTGCCGCAATTGTTGGTTCGTAGAGTAAATTTAAAACCTTTCTCCGTCACTGTGCATCACCGTGGCTGGCACGCATTTGTAGGGCTTTCCAAAGAACAGTCAACAAGGAAACCCGGCCGGGTAAGAAGACCAAGCGAAGTCCGCACCGCATCAAGGTCCAAGCCAAATCTGCACCGCACCAGGCAAAATCCGCACCGCACCACTTCAAAATCCGCACCAGCCGAACAAGCCCGCACCGACGAGATCTCGTCGAAATTGCCATACTTTGCAGTCTGGGTATGGAGTACCTATTGCGCGCTGAATAATTGGGTAGTTCTAAAGCAGGCGTCACACTTGTTTCTTGCTACCAAGGACAGGCAATATACCCAGAGATCCTTTCTAATTGATCAAACCAAACCAAACCAAACCTCATCTAACCAAACCTGACCTAATCTTACCTGTACAACCTACAACCTATAACCTACCGCCTACCTACCTACCACCCAAAACTGAAAACCTACAATGTACAACCTTTCCTACAGCGCCTCTCCTTGGTTGGTTGTAAAAAAAAACAAGTGTGACGCCTGCTTTACTGCTACCGAATAACTGTAGGCAACAACAATAGAGCTTGATGTGAACTGGCTCTTGCACTGTGGACCATAGTGCCCAACTGAAATTTTAATTTTGGCTGTTGGTTTGCATTCTGTAAATTAAAGTAGTTTTAGCAATTCAATCATCAGTCATTACTGCATTACCTACCAGACCTAAATGCCAATGGACATTATTGATGGTGACAGCCGACAGGTGGGCACCATGGGCTAGGATTAGGTACCTACCTACCAAATCACCTAACCAATGGTTTGTGTGCAATAGCTAAAAGCTTTTTTTGTTAGATCTGTATATTTATTTTTTAACAAACCTGATTTTTTGTTAAGGATAGGGTAGTGGAAGAGGTCTAATATTGATATCAGTATTGATTAGGTTATGTACCAATTAACCTGCCAAATACCAACTACAAACTAAGTTATCCTTTCAAGCTTTGAGTGTGAAAAATGCTTACTTTTCAACCAGATAAGATCAAATCAGCTATGTATTGGTAAACTATTTCTTATTACATACTACATAGTACATACATCACTGGACCAGGTGGCATTGTGAATACTACTACCAGACCACATAGGTACCATTTTGTTTTTAACTGTGAGGTGGGTCAGCAAAAAAATATGCAAGATTCTCATTCATCATGCTGGACTTGGCAGTCATAGCATTTGGTTGGCTTTGATGCTTAAATATTATTATGTAAGTGCTGTTTTATGGTTGTGTGAACCAACTGACTGAAAAAGTTACTTGAGTTATGTGGCAAAAAAAACTTGAATGAAACATTTTATGAATTGCAGTCCTTAAAATAAATAGGTTCTCTATGCATCACTTGCTGTCGCTGTGTGTCAGCAGTGTCACTCTTCCGTAACACAGGCTCAGTAGGTGCTGTGTGCACTGCTCACTTTAATGACCCAGTGCACTGCTCACTGGTAACCCAGTGCCCAGTGGCTGTGTGCACTGCTCACAGATGACCCTGCACTCATCACTGCACTGACTGATGATCCAGTGTTCAATGGCTGCACTTCTCACTGATGATCCGGTGTTCAGGACTGCACTGCTCAGTGTTCATTGATGAGTAATGACACAGTGGCTGTGTGCACTGCTCTCTGATGACCCAGTTCCTGTATTGTGATGCTCGCCAGGTCTGCAGCACTCGCGTCTCGCCATGGACTCTGACGGCGACATCCAGTACGATGAGGACTCTGCTGACGACGACATGGTGTACGACAATGACTCGGGAAACGAGTCGAGCGGCGACGAGGTTGACTTTGACGAGCACCGTCCGGGCCCGTCGACGGCCCACGAGGTGGAGCTCGCCGCCGAAGACGCACCGTTTCAGGTGCTCTCCGTACAGGAGATTGTCGACTTCATGGTGGTCGAGATCAATGAGGTCAACGAGGTAGCCCAGGTGAGTGGCGATTGTAGCAGAGGTTATGGTACAGGGGCCGGGTTAAACGGCCTCTGAATTGATCGATATTCCGCTTAGATAACGGAGGCGGTGATGGGTGTGGGCCCAGTGGTGCGGGAACCGGGGGGGGGGGGGGCTAGCGGGCCGAGCCCCTCCAACTTTTCGGCTGGGAGGGGGGGGGGGCTCGTAATGTATTTGAGCCCCTCCAACTAGAGGAATCGAAATCGGAAATCCACGAACATAATTTCATAGATTCATATAGTACACCTATTCAAAATGCTAACCAGGACCAATTTCCATTATGGAGCGCTCTAACGCAGATGACTGTGACAACATGTCAGCACATATTCATTCTCTAAACATCATACATTTCCACCAAACGCCCTCCACACATAATGCTCAGAAATCAAGCAGCTATCTATGAGCTACGGGTAACCGGAGGAGTACGGAACGCGAGCGGCCCGGCACGGGCGTCACAGAAGGACGTCTGAGCGTGCCATGGGGCTTCCCCGCGACTCTGCCAGACGCCAGCCGGCATAGGCGCGGGAGCCGGGGGGGGGGGGCAGCCTGCCCCCACAACTGTGGGCCGTGGGGGGGGGGCGCTGCCCCCACAACTTTCATACGGCCAGGAACCGTCGGGGTAGCTTGTCCTCCCTCAATTAGTGGCTATAGGCCCCAAAGGAAAGCTGAATGGAAGACAACATTGAAAAAAATCCCCCTTAGCGTATGTGGAAGCTCTAAACCTTTATTCCAGGTTATCAAAAGGTAGTTCCTTAACTCAGATGAGACGGAAATTCTCACTTTTTTGCAAGTGATCTCGTTTCGTTCTTTTCGTTGAAAAGGCCAAGGGGTGAAAAATAAGTGGCCTAAAACCGGTGAGAAAACTAGATTTGGGGGTACCGTAGGTTCCGGGAAGGATCAGGTGTGCCCCCAGCCTGAAAGTAGTTCCCGTGCCACAGTCTGGGTGTGGCTCGGTATCCGGGGTATATTACGTAAATGATGGTAAAGATTCGGTATCCCAGTTATATTGCGTAAATGGTGGTAGAGATTTGGTATCCCGAGTAGATTACGGAGGTGGTAATGAAAATGGATCGGCATCCGGGCAGATTAGGGGATGGTGGTGAGTGTTGCTTGGTCTCCTGGCCCCTGGTTAGGTTACGGAGTTAGCGCTGCGCGGGTGACTCAGTATGTTGGGTATGAAATATCCGTGGCAGTGCCTACCACAACAGCGTCTGTGTCTTAGCCGGGTGATGTGTCACCGTGTCATGACGCCACCTGTCCCATGCAGCTGCCGCGGACCACCATCCGTATACTGCTGAATCACTTCAACTGGGACAAGGAGAAGCTGCTAGAGCGTCTGTACGACACGGACCAGGAGCAGCTATTCCTCGAGGCGCACGTGGTCAGCCCTCACATCACGGGCACCGCCTCGCAGGCGCCCAGGGTGAGTCTCACAGGGTACCGGCTGTACTCACGGCGTCACAGATGCCGCCCACGGTGCAGAGGTGCATTTGACCGTCGATAGTAGTCAGCTCGTGCTGTAGTTACTTGTCTCGCAGTCTGTCAGGTAATCATGGTTGGTCACAGTTAAAGTTACACCAGCTGAAATGAATGATTTATTGAAATTATATGCAACATTGAAGTGCCAACTACATATTAAAACATTATTATTCAACATCATTTCACACTGATCAATCGTTTGACTCGTCCTTTGTCTCTATGGCAATCGTATGAACGCACTACGCAGTTACAGGTCATGTATTATTTTATGTGCAGCCTGCAGCTGACCTGCGGTCGTGCGCCGCAGGCGAACAGCGGTATGGGAACGTAGTACGCCATGTGCCATTCTGTCTGCTGACTAGCCTGCTGACCGTGTGTGGCGCGCCGCAGGTGAACAGCAGGGTGGGAGCCGTGCCCACCGAGGAGTGCGAGATCTGCCTCACCGTCCGGCCGTCCGCGGTAAGTAGGCTCCGTCGTACATGCACTATCCGACGGTAGTAAGATGATACAGAACTGTCTTTGTCAGGATGTGGAAGAACAGCTGCATACTGCTCGGCATGGATGTGCCTATTCTGATGTCAAGTCATTTGTCGTACGTAACGAATATGTGATGTTTGGTGGCGTCTACATGAGTTATGTGATTCCTTATGGCGCTATGTGACGCTGCGTGACGGCATGTAATGCAACGTGACGATATGTGATGCCGTGTCTCTGAGGTATGACGCCATATCACGCTGTCGGCTCTGGCTGACCGTATCCGTCGCACCTCCCCGCCCTCAGGAGATGTCGGGCCTGGCCTGCGGCCACCGGCTCTGACCGTATTGTCTGTTCCCTCCCCGCCCTCAGGAGATGTCGGGCCTGGCCTGCGGCCACCGGCTCTGACCGTATTGTCTGTTCCCTCCCCGCCCTCAGGAGATGTCGGGCCTGGCCTGCGGCCACCGGCTCTGACCGTATTATCTGTTCCCTCCCCGCCCTCAGGAGATGTCGGGCCTGGCCTGCGGCCACCGGCTCTGACCGTATTGTCTGTTCCCTCCCCGCCCTCAGGAGATGTCGGGCCTGGCCTGCGGCCACCGGCTCTGACCGTATTGTCTGTTCCCTCCCCGCCCTCAGGAGATGTCGGGCCTGGCCTGCGGCCACCGGCTCTGACCGTATTGTCTGTTCCCTCCCCGCCCTCAGGAGATGTCGGGCCTGGCCTGCGGCCACCGGCTCTGACCGTATTGTCTGTTCCCTCCCCGCCCTCAGGAGATGTCGGGCCTGGCCTGCGGCCACCGGCTCTGACCGTATTGTCTGTTCCCTCCCCGCCCTCAGGAGATGTCGGGCCTGGCCTGCGGCCACCGGTTCTGCGCCGCCTGCTGGTGTGAGTACCTCACCACCAAGGTCATGGACGACGGCGTGGGACAGACCATCTCCTGCGCCGCACACGGCTGTGACATCCTGGTCGACGACGAGACGGTGCTGCGGCTGGTGTCGGAGCCGCGCGTACTCGCCCGCTACCAGCACCTCATCACAAACAGCTTCGTCGAGGTGAGTGCGGTGACGGGGGAGGGGAGGAGGCTAAGAGTTTCATTTTGTAGGACTTGTTTTTTTTTAGATTTCTCAATTATATTGTGTTAAAAATGCATTTTTTCGCAGCCTTCAATTTCACGCCATTTCTTTTTCATGACTGCAATCAGTCGACTGCCCAAAGTAATTTGGTATGCCAAAACGAAAATGTTTTACTCAGCGTTTCAATGTAGGGGCATTGCCAAGAGTTACTGGTCTGCAACGTTGTGTACTTGAGGCTAGGAAATTCTTTACTCCTGGTATTTCTGAACTGCTCGGTGAATGAATGAATGAATGAATGAATGAGTGAATGGTGATGCTGGATAAATAGGAAAATCTTTCAAAATACGTTTTTAGTTGCTCATGTGCTACTGGTCAATGTCATGATTTGTGACGCGGAAACTATTCAACTATTGAGTGCTGTTCTTTTCTTAATTTAATTGAGCGTGAACCAAGCGTGTTGATGTTACCTGAACGACGTAGAAAAGGAAAAGATGGCGTAACAGCTAGGTCTAAGGCTATAGCTAGGCCCCTATATATGACCTTGGCTAGGCCTGTCGCTCGATGCTCTGAGCCGCTTCAGTGCATACCGCAGTATAGTGCGTGGCAAATGTTGTCACTTAAAACAGGCATGATACTTTGAAAGCATGATAAAGTATTTTGAGTGTAGTATATTTCAGTGCAATGCATGTGATGCGATCTAGGAATATGTTCGCGTTCGGTTTTCTAGGAGCAAATAGATGTTGGTCGAATCAGAATATGTTTTAGAGCTTTTATGTGCAGTGTCAGAATGGCCGAGTGGTCTAAGGCGCCAGACTCAAGGTTAACCTTCCCGCTGGTAGCGGGCGAGCATTCTGGTCCGCGAATGCGGGCGTGGGTTCGAACCCCACTTCTGACAAACGTTTTCCGTTTGCCAGTGGCGCTGGTGACGTGAAATGCCCGATGATAGTGCGCTAGTCTGACATGTTGTATTAAATACATTTTTTAAAAACATTACAGCACATTTTATTAATATATTAAAAATTAAACACCTTTCAACGTCTGTGTGGTTCCCGGCAGCCTGTATTTGCTGCGGATGAAGTAACTTCGCCCTCAGGATTTCAGGCACAGTGGGAGCGATGACTAGGTACTGAGTCTCTGTTACCTGCTGGTCTGTGACGGTGTCTGTCTGTCTGTCCTCAGTGTAACCGGTACCTGTGCTGGTGTCCGACCCCCGACTGCGGGTACGCGCTCAAAGTGCCCAATCCCGACTGCCGACCCGTCACCTGCAAGTGCGGTCACAAGTTCTGCTTCGCCTGCCGCGAGGCCTGGCACGACCCGGTCCGCTGCCACCTCATCAAGCGCTGGCTCAAAAAGTGCGACGACGATTCGGAGACGTTCAACTGGATCTCCGCAAACACTAAGGTGAGTGCGACGACGGCTGGTTCTGGTGGCTATACGTTGTCTCCTGTATCGCTGCCTACCGGGTGTGGCGCTAGTGGTATGTATTGTGTAGGGGCAGATGCGGCACGTTTAGTCTGCCAGACACCTATTAACTCTGGAATCGAACGCTGCTTTCACATGATGCTATGTAACACTCGCTGCAGCGCCGTAAACCCCAATTCCTCCACCGCCTCTGTCCCCAGGAATGTCCCAAGTGCAGTGTGACCATCGAGAAGGACGGCGGCTGCAACCACATGGTGTGCAAGAACCAGAGCTGCCGCGCCGACTTCTGCTGGGTCTGCCTCGGCTCCTGGGAGCCGCACGGATCATCATGGTGAGTTGTGAGCTAACCCTGTGAGTTGTTAGCTCGTCCCTGTGATTTGTGAGATAACCTTGAGAGCTGTGAACTACTCCTGTCAGCTGTGAGCTAACCATGTGAGTTGGTGACCACGCTCATGTGAATTGATTTGGGCCTTGCGGATCCTCAATCCTCATGTTAATTGTTGAGCTCGTCTCTGTTAGTTGTAAACTGACCTTGTGAGAGCTATGCCCTGCGGGTTAGTGTGGGTCTCACGGCTCGCCCCTGAGAGTTTGTGTAGGCCGCGCGCTCGTCCTGGCGCGTTGCTGGCTGTTGCTGGTGACCCGGCTTTGAATGTTCTTCAAATGAAATAGGGAAAGCACTGAACGTGCTTTCTCGATGGTTCGATTGTGCCCGAATAAACGCAATTCGTCTCGTTCCCTTACCCAGGGTTTCCCGTGAGGTAATCCGTGTAGCGACTGTCAGCTCTAAGAGTTTACCGCCGATGTGCTGACTCTCCCCTCCCTCGGCACCACAGGTACAGCTGTAACCGATACGACGAGGACGAGGCGCGGGCGGCGCGCGACGCCCAGGAGAAGTCGCGCGCCGTCCTTAATCGGTACCTCTTCTACTGCAACCGCTACATGAACCACATGCAGTCGCTCAAGTTCGAGAACAAGCTGTACGCGTCCGTCAAGGAGAAGATGGAGGAGATGCAGCAGCACAACATGAGCTGGATCGAGGTAGGTGCCGGTCTGGCGGCCACTACTTATCACAGACAGCTTACTTACTACTTACTTCCCTGGTAGAGAATATCAGCCGAGCCGGTGCCAGACGAAAACGGCGTCAAATGAATCGAAACACACGTGAATTTCAGGCGTTCAAATTATGAGCGACTCTGCACTGTTGTTTCTCTAACCATGAACCGCGTTTGTTCACCGTGGTATGTAAAATGTCAACCCTTCCTTTTTACTCTTAACCGTGTCGTTGTCGTTACCTGACGGCCCTTGCTTTGATCTGCAGGTCCAGTTCTTGAAGAAGGCGGTTGACATCCTCTGCTCCTGTCGCGTCACACTCATGTATACATACGTGTTTGCGTATTACCTGCGCAAAAACAACCAGTCTGCCATCTTCGAGGTGAGTCCGTGTCCCAAACCTCCGGGGGTCTCTTAGATTATTTGAAACCTGTTTGATTACGAGTTTTTTTACTACTCGTAAGTCGTGGCCGTGTTTCGTTTCTGCTTGCTTTGCTTGTCATGACACAAACCAGCATATGTTGGTCACAAAAAAAGACCTAAATAATGATGAAACGTCTTATCGGGCAGAATTCTCTGTTATCGAGGTAATTGTGATAAAAAGTGAAATTTGTAGACGCTGTTTTGGTGTCTTGTCGGTTGGGCCTCTGCGTTGTGTCTGAGCTGAGTGGTCCCACATAAGCCGACTTGTCTGTTCGTTTGGGTGACACTGTGTGCGTAAGAAACAAAAGGACCTGGAGCAGTGGTTATAACTGACTGTCCCTCTCCTCAGGAGAACCAGAAGGACCTGGAGCGATGCACCGAGGTGCTCTCAGAGTATCTGGAGCGGGACATCACTCAGGAGAACCTGGTCGACATCAAACAGAAAGTCCAGGATAAGTACAGGTCAGTAGAACCACTGGGAACTTTGACGGGCACAATAGCCACACTGTCGGCTAGCCGCGGTCTACTTTTAGCGGACGAACACGCGTATCGTCACTGGCCATTGTTCCGCGATCTCATCGGGGTTACTGGCTACCTTCTTTGAGCGATCGCGGGCCCGATGGTTACCCACTCGTGTTCCTTTGGACACACGGCGCGCTGTGCTCTGACGGTGTCATCCCGTCTGCTCCCCAGGTACTGCGAGGGCCGGCGAAAGGCCCTCCTCGAGCACGTCCACGAGGGCTACGAGCGTGACTGGTGGGTCTATAACGACTAGGTCGGCCGCGCCACGGACACTGCTGCCAGCGGACAGCTCCCGAACCTATAGTCACACAGCTGACTGACCGGTGGCGCCGCGCAGAGCGCGCTATCGTCGAGCACAGGGTGTGCCCAGCGCCAGAGCGACTAGTCGGAACGTGGTCTGGACGGGGGCGGGAGGAGCGGGGGGGGGGGCGACCCGCCGACAGACACCAGAAGGTGGTAGCGCTTTCAGTGGACAGGGCAGGGGAGGTGCGGCGGTGACCCGCGGCAGCTGGAACCCGGGTCGAACGGCGCCGAGTAGAGGCGACCGCCGGCCGCCGGAGAGTTTTATGTGGGACGGTCCCCGTACCGGGGGCGCTGGGAGGGGTGGGGTCAGCCGCTGCCACACGGGTTCGGGCGGGCTCCGAGGGGCGCGGGGCCGGCCGGCCTCGTCCGCCGTGCACTGAGTGATACCGCGGGACGGTCGGCCCCGCCGCGCCGCGCCACGCCCTGTATTATGTCCAGCCGGGACGCCGCCGGCCGAGCGGACGCGTTGTGAGCGCGCGCGCTCGCGCGAGTCTTATTATATAGCCCATGATTATTAGCGTGACCGCGATGTGGCCGTGATTGGATGCATTTTACTGGTGAGTCGAGTCCGTACCGTACGCTTTCTGCGCCGCTGTGTAGTTGTTTGAGCAATACACCCGTGCAGATCTGAAGGCGGCTGTTGGAGCCGGTCCGACTGCCCCGAGGGGACCATCTGTTCTATACGCGGCGGGAACCGAATCGCTCTGACCATGAGGGTCAGCAGAACATTTTGACGTACCGGAAAGCCAGCACGGTAGCATTTGTTTGCAGTTTGCACCGTAAGGGAAAACAAACAGGTCAACGGTCAGTTGGCACTACTGAAGATGGATTCATGTATGAGTTTGGTCCTGGCCATTTCTTTGCTTATTTATAACCGTTGAAGGTTTTACAATTGAGGGAATGAAAGACGTGCCATATTTCGTCCGTATTCTAGGCTTTCGTTTGGGTGCTCTACTTGCAAAGACAGCTGAAGCTATCGCAGATTATGGGACCACCGGGTGGCCTAGCACTGCGCATCTCAGAGTGGCCATAAGACGAGCTGGCATTAGTCAGTAGTCTCATTATTTCGTTTTACGCGATAAGTCCGATTTTACCCCGGCTCACGGGTGTGGTTATATTTGATACCCCGAGATAGCCGATTAATCGACACGAGGGTCGGTTTCGAGGACCACCGGACGTCACTATCTGTATAACGGCGGGACTGGGGAGGGGCAACTGTATGTCATCGCCCACTGACTGATACGGCTATACCAGTCACATCCTACAGGCTGATACCGGTTACATCCCCCGTTGAGTGATGCAGCTATGCAGTTGAACATGCACACATAATTCAATCAGTTACCTTCCACCCCACTGACTGATGCTGTTCGTCCAGTTGACACTGACGCCCACAGTTACGCCCGTTGTTCCCCATTTACTCCCAATAACATACACGAGTTCGATAGCTTACTGGCTTCGCCCTGTGATTGAGATCGTTCCACCAATGACACGCTCCACCGCGCCGGTTACCACACTCCACGGCCCGGGGAGTGGCGAGTGAGCGGCCGCACGGGACCGGGCGGCGGCCGGCCGGTCGGTGACGCCTCCGGGAGCTGTCAACACAATTGGCCGCTCCACTAGACAGGCTACACGCCGGGCGGCGCTCGGTGTTTCGATATGACAACAGCTGGTGAGGCGTGAAACACTGGTGGAGTCTCGCAGTGACAAATAGGACCTGTCGGGAGTAGGGTGTTAACTTGTTGCAACAACAGCAGCTGGTGACCGGGCTACTAAACGGTCTGTTTGCCTATGTCGACATATCGAGTCTTAGCACAGCTGTGGCGACAGTGCTCTCAGAGACGGCGATGCATCGTGTCTTCAGCCGGGAGTCGTAGCCTTCGGACCGTCGTCGGAACCGTCGGCGGGCTGGCGAGAGGCGAACGACCGGACGGACGAACAAACTCGGTCGGTCAGACTGCTCATAACGTCGGCAGCCGGGTCAGAGCCGTCCGGCTCCAGACGAGAGGGTCTCTGCCCGGGTACGCAGCTCAGCTAACGGCACGGCACGCGCGAGAAAAACATGTTTTCGCAGCTCTCGGAGAGCGAGCTGGCCGTGGCCGCGGCGGCGCCGAGTCGATAGTGCAGCGACACCCGGTCGCCGGTCGGCGGGCCTCGATCGAGAGAGAGCGGCACCAGAACAGACGGAGCTCACGGGCCGCCGTGTCGGCCGGCGGCGGGGAGGGTGGCCGACCAACATGGTACAACGACGGGCTGGAGAGAAGGGAGTTATGCAACCGCCGCCGGAGATATGTGGAGTTCTGTTCAACTACAGCTGAGCTATGGGTGCATCCGATCACACCGATGCTCTGCCTCGATCGCGGCCTGCTGCACACGGGCGCCGGCTGACTGCAGGGGAGGGGAGGGGCGCTACCCTGCCGAGACCGGCTCAGACCGCATGCCACACATACCGGGCAGCATTCAGAGGAAAGGCAAGCCAACGGCGACACGAGCCGGCCGGTCCGGCTCCTCAGGGATGGGGCCCGACTGCAGACGGCCACAAATGACCGACATCAGCTGCGAGTACAGCAGAAGCTCCATTCAGCTCCACAGTTAGCTGTATAGCAGCTTCACACAGGTCCTTGGTAGTCCAATTATAGAGGCACAATTCTTTAATTTCCTGGTTTTTGAGGGCCGATAACACGCATCGCCCTGTAAGGTTGTTCTGTGACACATTTTCCCTTGCAGTTCAGTTGGTTCTTTTAATGCTTTCATAACAGTTTTCTAGTCCATGACGAAGTTTAGGGTTTTCTTGACGTATCAGTTCAACCTTCCAGGCGGTGGGGGGGGCATTTTTTGCCCCCCCCCCCTTTAGTTTTTTCAATATATCTCGAGAACCGCTGCGCCGATCGTCACCAAACTTTCAGTACCCTCCCGGGAGTAGCTAGCGCACATGGTGACCAAAATTTTTTCCAAAGGCTATGATAGGTTGGCCGCTAATGACGTCAGAGTGACGTCATTTTTGCCATTTTCGACCCAAAAAAAGGTTTCGCGGGAAGAGCTGTCAGGCCTACAGCTTCAGAGATATATTTCGGTTTTTCGAATTTTTTGAATTTTGACCCCCAAAAATAAAAAAATAGATTTTTTGAATATAATAGCCGAAAAATCCAAAAAGTTTTTTGAATTTCGAAAAAACCGGAATATTGATAGTCCCTACCGCTTTCTATCTACATACCAAATTTGAGATCGATACCTCTTTTTTTTTGGCCAAGTTATAGCGAAAAAACTGTTCAAAATTGATGACGTCAAATTTTCAAACTCAATTTTTAGTAATTCTAGACCTCGTAGCGCAAAACAAAGACCACCATTAGACTCCCCGTGACGAGCTGCATCGAATCGATACCCATTTTATGGAAAAATATCAACTTTGAAATTTGACCTTTTTTGACCTGACCTTGACCTGACCTCCACCAGAAAGTGACCTAAACCGTACCTGATGGCCTTATTACCAACACCATTGAGTTGGAAATGAAAAACTGGCCATAAAACATGCATCGCATAACCTTAGTAAAGTTGGGCTCATGTGGTGACCTTTGGTGACCTGACCTGTGACCTGACCTGGTATGACCAGTGGCCTCTAATAGCAACATATGTACTAGACAACTGACGCCTTATCGCTGATTTTCGACAAAATGCGTTTTACTCGGTGTTATAGCGCTTTCCCTAGAAGCCCCGTGAACGGTGAAACATTTTATCTTTGACCTGACCTGTGACGTCATCGGTGACCCCGAGGTCAATGAAATTTGGTTTCCTTCGACAAATTTGACAGGGCTATCGAACGCCGTTTGAATTTTCCGGATCCGTCCAGTAGTTTCGGAGATACGGGGGGGGGGGCAAAAATGCCCCCCCCCCCCCACCGCGCGGAAGGTGGCTGGGAGGCCCACCGCCTGCCGGGTTAAGTAATTTCACCACTGCCTACCTAGCATCGCAACACGTTATGTCTCGTTTCTTTACCACTCGGCGCGACGTCCGCGGTCTAGTTACTTGCCGCTGAAATATGAGAGAAGGCCGAGATGACGTCACTGACACTGTCAATGACAATGAGCGCTTCTGGAGCAGTGAAAGTACTGTCGGCTAGAGCCACCAACGCCAGTCACAGGCCGACATACCCTGGACGATTATTTTTTATTACACTATGCAGAGCAATTAATACAAAAATAAACTGAATGAACCAATGCGGTGTCCCCAGTGCCGTGCGTCGCTAATGCGAAGCGAGCGGCACCGGCCGAGCTCGGGCGACGCAATAAATAACGTGAGAGGCAGGCGTCACCGCGACAGCGCGCAGCGGCACGCGCGCGACACACACCCTGACCAGGCATCTGATTGGAAACGCACACACTCTGACGAGCTCAGACACATACAGACGCACACAAGCACACACATAGGGCAGACACACACAAGCACACACAATACGACAGACAGGTAAGTGAGGCCTGTGAGCGGCCGCCGACGGCCGGCCTCACACCGCCCTCAGCTGGCGGTCGGGGGCGCTCCACACGGCGCGGCGTAGGTTCCTGTCGGGCCGCGGCCTCGGACCGACGCTCGGCGGCGGACCCTGGAAGACGAGCGGCTGCTGGTTCCGCCGGCCGGCCGGCCCGCCCGCCTGACTAGACTACCGCTACACGGCTACTGCCGGCGGCCGGCCGGGCGCGCCGTCCCAGCCCCGCCCCTAAAACCCAGCCCGCGGCGCCCGTCTGTGGGATCGGCGCCTCTTCACACACAGCAGCGGCCGAGCCGTCTGCTGACACGCCGTACACTCTGCTGCGGGAGCGCGGCCGACGCGGCGCACCGCTTTGAGAAGCAGAGGCGCCAAGTGCGCTCCTCCGACGGGTGTCCCGCCTGTAAGGCCCGGGTGCACCGCGCGGTTTGTACAATGGTAGGGGTCGCTCAGATAAAACTGCGGCGTCCGGCGCTGTGCCGAACGTCTCTGTGCGCCGGAGGACGGCGGAGGGGGAGGGGTGGTCAGCTCGGAGGCGCCGCCCCCCTCTCAGCGAGACGAGATGAGGGACGCGGTGGCGGCGATGCCGAGGCCGAGACCGAGCTTCACTAGCGCGCTCCACACCTTGGACTCCATGTCCTCTGGGTACCGGAAATGGTCGCACAACACCGCCTGCCGGGGAACAGAGACATACTGTCAAACCTACAGACGGACACACATACAGGCAAACGTATCTCGGGATGTACACCAAGCGCTTGTCACTGAGTTTACTAGCAAATATTTCTTCAAAAACTTACGCTTTTCATGTAAAATACGTCATTTTCGTTACAAGTATCACATCCATTTTTTTCGCTTAAAAGGAGCGGTATTTATTGGTCCACACATTGCCAAGTTACAGATTTGATCCTGCCGTCTCGATAGACGTTCTAGAATTTGAGAACATTCCTGTGGTCATGAGCCATCGGACAACCATGCAGGCGGGCGGGGGAGGGGGTAGGCAGACTTGTCATGAGTCGACAATCCCGCACCTAAGCCGCTGCAAACTGCATCGCTAAACAACCAACAGACTTGAGTCACGACACTGGAACGCCGGTATGCGATCCCTCACTGGCCTCCCGTTCTACCACAGTCAGCTGGCGTTGCATGCCAACCTAATAA